TTCTAAAAAAAAAAAACCTAGAAGGTCTACTAGAATTTTAATGAACTACACTGAAATTAACTAAGTTTTTTAACTTAGCTGACACCAGAACACCTATCATTTTGACTTTAAAAATTTTTTCTTGCCCACACACACACTTCATTATAGATATATGCCAAGGATCACCTATTTTGGAATCAAAAATTTACAGTCACATTTATCAAAATAGTCCAATGACATTTAATCCAATATTATAGAGGCAGAACTATTTTCCCTTTCCACAAAACAGCAAATGCCTACCACCCTTTCATTCTCTTTCATTTTCATCATTTCCACTTCATATATCTCAGACTTTTGTATCTGTACAATACCTTACCAGGCACAACATTTAATGTAAAAAAGGCTACTGAACTTTATTAATTACCAAAAAACTATCCAACTTTTCCTTCCTGGAAGGGACTATAGGTGTCTATAGTCAGTTAAGTTCTATAAACTTTGAAACAAACCTGGCAAAAAAACCCAAAACAAAAACCCAAAAACCACAAGACATGTAAATACACAGTATTCTATAAAGCAGTAAAAATGAGTATAACTCTGTGGAATTCAAGAAATACGCTGCCTAGTGATTTTCAGCTTAAGAATACAGCAGTTTTTAAAGCCCAAGGAACATATGAATATAAAAGACTCAAAAAGCTGCCTGGTTTCCTATCTTGCTCTTGTATTAAACAGGAGGTTCTGTGGGCTGAAGACAAAAATCAGTGGCCCGTAACCATTGCCCTGGGATAATGAAAACTTTGAGCAGCAGAATACAACAGACCGCATCACTGCTCAGATCACTCCCTACTACTTGACCTGCAATGGTATGGCTTCCTCTCCCAGGCACTGGATCATCCTTTGCCTAAACCCAGCAGTGGTCTTCAAATTTTTTGATAGCTGGCATTGATCCTATGCCCTAGAAAAATACATGTACAATTTTAAAGACTTCTTGAATCTTTTAAATCCCATCCAGGCATCTGATCACACTATTATAAGCAGGCTCGCCACTGCTTTCAACAAGATCCAACGCTGTGACCAAAAGGCCCCAGAAAGCGGTTGAGGCGTTCTCCCGGACTCTCCTTCCTCCACAAGCCTATACGGTGAGTACTGTTCCTACTGAGTTAAGCCTAGTTTTCTCAGGGGATGAAGTGATATCCTCAGGCCAGGCATCTATGAAAGGCAAACCTGTGGCTTGACTCAAAATCCTGAGCTCTGTTGTATCTCTGTACCTCTCTGAGTTTGACTTAGGTTTCCTATTATGTATTTCCTCATTTTGTTTCCCATTTCATCATCCTGTGCAAGACAAAACCCACCCACGTTTGGCTGCATCTTGCAGGGTTATGGAAAGAGGTAGTAATGCTGTGTCTCTCCCCAACCACCAACAGCTTTTGCTCTAAGCGTCTGGCAGGGCAGGAAAGGTAGACTGCATTAGTTCACAAATTGAAATTTCAAAATAACAAGGAAGATAAAAAGCCCAAGTTTTCACATAATGAAAAGCCCAAGGTGGGTGCAGGTGGCTCACTCACAACTATAATTCCAGCCCTGTGGGAGGCCAAGGAGAGAGGACTGCCTGAGCTCACAGGTTTGAGACCAGTCTGGGCAACATTGTATGACCTCATCTCCACAATAAGTCAAAAAATCAGCTGGGTGTGGTGGCGCATGCCTGTGGTTCCAGCTACTTGGAAGGCTGAGGTCAAAGGATCGCCTGAGCCGCAGGTTGAGGTTGTGGTGGCTGTGAGAATGCCACTGCACTCCCACTCAAAAAAAAAAAAGAAGAAGAAAAGCCCATGCTGTGAAGAATATGCCAGTGACCACTTCCCATGGCGATGCTCTGTAACTCTTATAAAAAGCAACCTGGTGCATGCTCTTTGCTTACTAATATAAACACTTGATAAAACGTGCACAATCAGAATGGGTTACTAAACAGCTTTTCAGAATACTCATAACTATGGAGATGGGCTACTTTTTGTGGGAAGAAAAATAAGACTTTCTTAGTTATTATAAAACAGATGCTCAATATATTGAAGCCTGGTTCATCATTGACGCCACCAGTCAATCACATTAGTTCCACAAAGGAATTACCTGCTTATTTTTCTAAAATTACAAAAAAAATTCAGAAAAAGTTGGAATAAAAAAATTATTAATTGGTATTTTTATCATGTAAGATCTTAAAATGTAATTAAAACACTTTAAATCTTTTTAAAAAAAATAGAGATGGGGTCTCACTACATTGGCCAAGTTGACATAGAACTCCTGACCTCAAGCTTTCCTCTAGCCTTGGCCTCCTAAAGTGCTGGGATTACAAACATGAACCATCACACCTGGTCTAAAACATATTTCTACTAATCATTTAAGTACAATGGTCAAAAATTTTTTTTCTCTAGTAGAAATACTACTTAATACATTCTATTCTTCCATTTTATTAGTAAAAGAAATTTAATGCAAGGTGTTTCCAGAGTCAATGTCACCTCTTTGAAAAAGATGGTAGCAAAATGAAGGCCACTTATAAAGAATCAAGATACCTGTAAATATCAAACTTTCCCAAGTCGGAAAGTAAAAGCCATGGAAAGTTAGCACACTGCTGACCTAATTCTATCATCCTCTTTTCTAAAAGAAGCCCACTTGCTCGTTTATTTAACAAATATTGGAGCATCTAACTATGTTATGAGTCATGCAAAGATTACAAACTGAACTGTTGAAAAGACCAAGGTAGGCTGGAATAAAAGCTTGTTAAGAATTCACTAAGTCATTTTTATTAACCTTTAAAAAACATGTATTTTAATTGGAGAGTATCACTCTATCTCCCAGGCTGGACTGCAGCAGCAGGAACACAGCTCACAGAACCCTTGACCTCCTGAGCTCAGGTGATTCTCCCACCTCAGCCTCCCAAGTAGCTAGGACTACAGATATAGTCCGACAAGTTTTTTGATTTTTTTGTAGGTCTATATGTTGCCCAGGCTCCTATTCTCAAACTCATGGGCTCAAGCAATCCTCCCACTTCAGTCTCCCAAAATGTTGGTCAAGTGTGAGCCTCTGCACCTGGCCTCTAAGACATTTGTACAGTAAAGGAATTAAACTTCCATTCATCTAAACTTTCCAAGCGTGAGTATCATGTCAACTTTGTGAGAAGCCAATGCTATTCTGAAGGAGAACAAGGGTAGTGAGCAGAATCAACCTCCTTAATCACTTCAACAAAAAGAAGCTACTAGGCCAGGGCAGTAGCTCATGCCTATAGTCCCAGCACTTTGGGAGGTTGAGGTGAGAGGACTGCCTGAGCTCATGGGTTCGAAACCAGCCTGGGCAACTTGAGACCTCATGTCTACAATAAATCAAAAATTAGCTGGGAGTGGAGGCGTGTGCCTGTAGTTCCAGCTACTTGGAAGACAGGCAGGAAGATCACCTGAGCCCAGAGGTCGAGACTGCAGTGGCTGTGAGAATGCCACTGCACTCCAGCTTGAGGAACAGAGACAGACTCCAACTTAAACAACAAAAACGCACAAAACTGCTGCAAGTCTTTTCCTAGGAAAAATCCTCATAATGACAGTAACTTGTATACGGTATGTGGAAAACATGCAAATACCTACCTGGTATTGCAAATAAGTTTGTTAATAGCAGATAAATGTTACCACATTCCCCTTTATTCCTAAAATTGACTTTTGTCTTAAGGGAAATTATAACTTGCAACATAGCCTTTCAAGCCAAAATACAAATTATTTGATCAGGTGTAATTAGAAAAAAAAAAAACCAGCCTGAACAAAATTCAATAAATGTACACAGATACTGACTAGTAAGAGTAAGAAGACAAAAACTCCAACACTATTATTGTAGAAAAAACAGCATTTTCAAATCTTAAATATTATTACCTTAGCAAATCACAAGACAGGCACCTGCCGTTTAGCCTCAATAAAAGCATGATATTCCTTTTCCGACTTAGAAGTAAATGATAGCTATCATTGTAAACATTTCAAATAAGCCAACAAAAAAAATGCTAAGAGAGATGCCACTTAAGATTTTGTTGTAAGGCTACATTACTTGGGGTTAAAAAAACCCACTATTTTTTAAAAGACAGACTAAAGAAAACACCATTTGAGGAAAATACTCACAATTTAGGAGCTATTCTATTAGTAAAGATTGGCGGAAGGTATCACAGTATTATCACAACTTGAAGAAAAACCCCAAACCCACACCACACCAGAAATCATCCTATTGCCCATGAGAGTAGTTCTTCCATCAACAAGGTTCAAATAGCAAGCAATGCTCCTAGATTTCCATACTGAGCCTCAGAGTCAGTAACTTGTCCAGATAAATTGGGATATTGCCCCTCCTGCAACCTCAAGTTGCGTAAAGTCATTTAATGACTATTCCAAAAACTCCTAGCTCACTAAAAAGGCAAAGTATCCTGCATTCGATGTTCTATGCAAATTGCTGGGAACTTCTACTAGTTTAGCCTCCAATTCAAACTTTTGTAGATTACTAAGCCATAATTTTGCAAGACATTAAAATCAACCAAAACATAATATTTAATTCTTTTAAGCAATGTTCTTCAACACAGTAGCTACTGAATACTTAAAATATTTCTTGAATGAAAATAGAAAATCAAGTTTGAGTTATTCATAACCTTTCACCATGGTTGTCAATTTTCAAAATTGACTTCCAATACTTAAATGCAGGAAAAGACAGCATCAAATGTGAAGTATAGTTTTCTGCATGGCTGATTCACTACATTAATGTTATGGTGGTTAATCCACAGAAGGGTATTATGTCTCCAATGAACCTATTATAGCTCTTACATAAAATATGTAAAGTTTCTACATCCACAGATGTATGTATATTTTAGCATCTTTTTAGTAATGATACCTTGAGGACCTCTATATTTAGACCATTCAATTTTTAGAAGGGAAAAAAAGCAAAGAAGTTGAGAATAATGTTAAAGGATACTCATAGGAACCCTCCAGTGGAGTGAAGCTAGACTGAGTGATGCTCACCAGCACATCATTGCAGATATCTCTCAGCTCCGTCTCAATTTTCTCTCTGTATTCTCGAGCCATCTGCTGTTTTTTCTCAGCACCTTCCGTCTTTTGCTCAATACTTGAGACGACCCTCCAAGATGACCTACGGGCTCCTACCACATTTTTATAGGCAACCGAGAGCAGATTCCTCTCCTCATTGGATAATTCAGCTCCTTGCTCAGTTACGGACTTCATGCAGGCTGCCATGTCATCGTATCGCTCAGCCTGCTCGGCCAGCTTGGCCTTCTGAACCAGCTCATTTTTATCCATGACTGGTGTTCTGCAGGGGGGGGGAAAGAGTATTTAAAAATTTTCCCATCAAAACAAACAGACTCAAAATTATACCAATGGTAAATAAACTATTAATATCTCGAACCTAACTGCCTATGGAATATTCTTTACATGAGATTAAAATGCAGCCTTACAAAAGGATGAGCAGAAATTTTTTTTAACACATTCAACAGAGATAAATTTATAGTCATTAACATCAGTTTAGTCAAACTAAAATGTCATTACCTCAACTCTCTTCACAAGGTCAAAAGCTGCTTAAAAAACCACCCCTTATCTTACTTGGCCAAAATCTCAACTCATTTCTAATATCACTAAGTGATTCAAAATTAAGCAGCTTTCCTTCCTTTGATAAAAGCATTGCCTACAGAGACCATCAGAATTTCTACCATACTTCCAGAATCATGATTCATGCCATTTTGCTTTCATAAAACTCTTGTCAGGGTTAAATTTTAGTTGGTATTACCCCCACCCCAATCTACTGGATCTCTGCAACATTTGCCTGCTGATCATAGCATGACAATTTTCCAGGAGTAATGACTAAAGTCCTTGTTCTTAGATATTTCTAACAAAGACCCACTATCAAGGATTGTTATCTGACCACAAGGCCTCAACTACCTAAAGCTTGTCATATGTACACATGCTTAAGAAATATTGTGGAACTTCAACTTACTCTGTGAGCACCAGAATGCATATTGGAAGCACTTAATTTACAAGTAGTTCCAGTGTCATTGCTCCAGTATAAATGGAGAATTATTGCATTTTGCTTCTAGTAGTTAAGCTGAGTGCTATCACTCAAGCTGCCCTTTACCTTGAATACCTTCCTAGTATTCTCTTTCCCTCATTTTAAAGTTTCCTAGATTTTTCAATTTGCCTCCTCTACCTTTTTCTTGAAAGGTATCTTTCCAAAGTTGCTAAACAGCAAAAAAATACTATTCCATAGAGTAATATCACAGAATGAACGATTTTTAAAAGAAAACAGCCTGAAGTGTACTTTTAAATTAAAAGATGAACAGAAGCGCCATTGTCACCAACCATGGGAACTGATTCCTCAATATCAACTAGGTCTTTTACCTTCCCAGGGAAATCCCATTTAAAAAAAAAAAAAAAAAAACTAAATAAGAAACGCTCCCCGCCAGTTTATCAGCTAGCTTGGATGTAAGGTGCAGTGGTTTAACTACTTAAAATTCCTGACCGCAAATTTCCGTCTGGCCTCGATATTGTTAATTTCCCCCCCACGAGCTCAGAAGCGCTCTCTGGTTAACACTGCTTCTAACGAAAGATGACTTTACGCCAGTACAAAGGCTTTCCTCTCCAGCCGCTTCGGTACAAGGGGAAGTGGATAAGGTTTCTCAGCGTAGTCAGGGCTTCAAGGCCGCGCCTCCATATAGCGGGGAGGACTCGCCGCACCCATTTAACCCTTACCTGACTCAAGACGTCGGGCAGGGCGTAACGAAATCCGGCCGACCGTGACTTTAAAGCGCAAATCCTCCGGTCCGCGCCACCCGCAGCCACCCCCCCTGGCTCCGCCCAAGCTGGTGCCTCCGCACAAGTCCCCGACTCTCCTCCTTTGTCATGGCGGATCTGCGTCACTGCCGCTTTTGTTTTTCAATTATAAGTTCCCTGACTTCAGTCCAAGCTCTCAATTTGCACGTGCAAAATTTGCTGTTTCCTTATTTAAACCCTATTAAATAAAATGAAGAGTTAGAAACAATGTTTTCTCCTTTAAAAAAAAATTAATTGCTCACACTGTAATTCATATCAGGGCACTTGCACATTTTTTTTTTTGGCCACAGTCTCTGTAATAGTCTCTGTAATAGTGTTTGACATTTACATA